ATTCTCTCTTCTGCCTCATTTATCCTAGCAGTTAGAGCCTCCATTTTTTATTGGACCTTATTAATAGCCTTTTTGATTTCAACTGGTTAGATTTTAGTTCTTTTATTTCTCCAGAAAGGGTTTCTCTACTAACTTCCATGCTTTTTTCACCCAGCTAGTGTCTTTAAAATCATCATTCTGAACTCTAGTTCTGACACCTTACTAAAGTCCATATTGATTAGGTCCTTGGCAGTCAGTACTGCCTCTTGTTCTTTTTGTTGAGGTGATTTTTTCTGTCTTGTCATTTTGTCCAGAAGAGAATAGATGAATGGGAGAAGAAAATGCTAACAGGGTAACAACATCCCCAGAAAATATACACTAAACAAATCAGAAAAGACCTAAGGTGAAGGCAGATGCTAAACCATCTGAGCCACCCAGGCACCCCTAATATTTGATTTTTAATCCAATTTTATATATAAGTGTACAATTGTAATTGTTGACTATTGATACCTTTTATGAGTTAATGTAATCAACCATACTCATTTATTCTCTCAATTTGTTAATTTGGCAAGTAAAATGTACATTTTTTTTTAAAGGGCTTTTGTGTTTCACAGTAGGCCAATATCTTGGTTTACTATTTGTTATCTTTGTAGTCAACTCTATTTGTTATGAAAATGGGGGCTAGAGACAACATCATACTTAAATGAAACCTACATATATAGATTAAAACTTCACTGAGCTATCAGTTTGAAAACTTTTCTATACTCAATCCTTTAAAGAGTGTTACTAACAACAAATAACTTACCTTTCAATTGGCAACATGAAGATTTTGTTAAAAGACCAAAAGACTATTAATGATTAAACAGGTGAAGTAAAAGACCTGAAAAATATACAAGCTAGATAATCATCTTCCAAATAATCAAGAGTTTATGTATTAGATAAGGAATAGAAGTTGTACACCTTAGTAATGACACACATTTAAAATATTTGGAACAAATGTTAACAAAATGTGGTGAATAAAGCATGGATTAGAGTAGGAAGACCATCAGAAAGAATCATTTGTGTTGGTCTCAAGTTTCTTGTTGTAAAATAAATGAATTAAATCAGAAAATTCAAAAATCTCTCCAATATTTGTTTTTTTCCAGTAGAACATTCTTCACTGTATTTCACTTCCAACAGCATTCAAGAGTGGAAAAAAATATGAAGGATATTCATTTCACTGAGCTGTTTTGAGTGGCAAATAAACACTTTAAAGTCGTTTTGAAAAAAACAAAGTATGAAAGATTGTACAATATAATAAAATAAAAACAACTATAATGTAGTTGAGATTTAAGTGCTTATTTTGATTCTAGGTGGAAAAATTTGTATTAAAATTTCCAAGTAAGATGATCCAGTAATTGCACTACTGGGTATTTACCCCAAAGACACAAATGTAGGGATCCAAAGGGGTACATGCACCCCGATGTTTATAGCAGCAATGTCCACAATAGCCAAACTGTGGAA